CTTCTCAAAGCTCATTCAACCCATCAGTCTTAAAATCAACGAAAAAATAGTGCACCTATATTTTGGAAGCGCATTCACTTACAGCATTGGAGGCATGGAACATATAGGATGCAGGAGAGTTGTCTAAGATAACCACTTGATCGATTGGCCTTCCTAATTGGGAGAGATCTTTCACATAGTTCCCTCGATGATATACGCAGGATTCGCGGAAGAGGCGATAACGGAACACGTTCCATTTGTCCAAGAAATCTGCAACCGGATCGGCATACTAAACACAAAAAAAGAGAAGGCCCGCGTAAGTACACGTGATTGGAAACGGAATATACAGTTGCAAAATGTGCACTGAATGCAAAAAATATCGAACTACTTGGCGCCATCTCAATTTTCCAGTTAAATGAGAAATGTTTATAGTTTATCACTCAATAAATAGCGATTGTAGGCTAGTGTCATAAGTCTTAAAAATTAGGTACTTTGAATCCGATATTTATTTATTTATTTAAAATAGCAGGCGTTTTGGTAGTTATCATTAGCCATTTAGCTGACTTCGGGCTTCGAGGAGAGGAGGAGGAACATCAAAGTGACAAAATGTCGAGAGGGGGGGAGGGACAGAATAACGATTTACAGATGTAACAGAGACAGACAAAATGGCAGAGAAAAGGTAAGATGAGTACTGTGCGGCGGTCGAATATGACACACAGTGGGGTGATGGTGGTTTGAAGTCAGAAGTCAACTGCCAGTTTACAGACTTTTTTGCCGTATGAGTATACGTTACCCAGGGTGCACCACGTGGAGGTAAGTCTATCGCACATCCCTTGAATCAGATATATATACGGAAAAGCTCGAGCGTGTTAAAAGTAAAAGTTTACAAAGATTCAGTGCTCATAGCATATTAGGCCAATCCCGTGCTCATGGAAGGCGAATTTTTGTATTATCCATTGGAAAATGCAGTCAAGGGATTCCATTAATTTCAATGCACCCACTATGAAGTTGGGAGGCCACAGGTTTGGGTACGAGCTCAGACTTTTGAAACAGTGGCCTTTCACATGCAAAACCCCTCATCACAGAGATTCCGAGCAGTCAATGACTTTAAAATTCGAGCCAAAAAAAGATATTATGAAGTTCGACGCTGAAAAGTGCATACCAATGTCCACGGAAGGGAACACTCGAACTATTCACCGCCCACATTCAAGGTCAGTGCGAGTTTCTTTAAACCGTAGGAAGGTGAAGACACAACAATACGAATTCATGAACCAAATCTAACTCTCCTTCTCCTTAATTGTTTCATCAAGGCCCATAGCTAGGTGTCCGCTTATCCCAATAATACAGCAGAAACCATCTTTATCAATAAATAAATAATTAAATAAATAAGAATTATTAAAAGCAAATGGATGCTTTTCATTCGAATTTTAAGTGCAAAAAAAATTTTGGGTGTGGTCTACTCAGAAGTTTCATTAAAAACGGATTGATTGAATTATTCTATTTTCTAGATAAGGAGTGATCTCTTGATAGTTATGCCCACTTAAACCGCCCCCCCCCCATAAAAGGACAGTTCAAGAGGAATATTCAGAGCTTGTCTAAGTGTCAATGCACAAGGCTACCCAGTTTCGGACAGATTTTCAATCCCAGTTAGTGAACTCCTTATAAACGCGACTTCATTTACTTATATCAAATGGTAGGCTTTATGGCAGTCATCATTAGCCCTTTAGTTGACTTCGGGATTCACAGAGGGGAGGAGGAGGAACATCAAAGTCAGAGGAGTGATTCACGGATGTAAGAAACAGACACAAAAGTAGAGAAAATGCAAGGTGAGGTGAGTCCTGTGGAAGTGGTGGAATATGACATTGAGTCGGGTCATGGTAGTTTGAATTCAGAAGTCAACTGCCGAACAGTAGACTTTTTTGCCGTATGAGTATACGTTGCCCAGGGTGCACCACGTGGAGGTAAGTCTATTGCACACCCCCAACTGGAATCTCAAACATCAGTAGACCATGAACCAGAATCATGTGTCCAGATCAAATTGGAAAGAAAGTGATGAATTAAGAATTGAATAAATAAATAAATTTATCTGACCGGATGTGCTTGACTTGTATTATAGAGGCAAAATAGTGAGAGAGAGAGAGAGAGGAAAAAGTGAAGTTAGCATTCAAAACCAAATACCTGACAGGTTGACATTTTTTCATGGGATAAGGAGACAGACACGAGAAAAAAAGATTGTCATAGGGTAGGCCGCACAAATAAGGCTTATTTTTTGTTGCTTTATCAAGTAAGGCTAATATGGCAATGTACACAGTGGATATGGAAATAGATAGCTTTTATTATGTAGTCCACAAGAATGATACAAAATAACGGTTGGGATACATTGCTGCTGAACAGCAATAGATTAAATGCAATTAACGGGACTCCAGAAACTGGGTTCTTTCAGTTAGTTTAACACAGGGGTGTGCGATAGACTTACCTCCACGTGGTGCACCCTGGTGGGTGTGCGATAGACTTACCTCCACGTGGTGCACCCTGGGAAACGTATACTCATACGGTAAAAAGTCTATTAACCGGAAGTTTGTGTGCGATAGACTTACCTCCACGTGGTGCACCCTGGGCAGCGTATTTTCTTACGGCAAAAAAGTCTATCACTCGGCTTTCGTTATATTCATACGGCAAAAAGTCTATTAACTGGCAGTTAACTACGATAGACTTACCTCCACGTGGTGCACCCTGGGCAACGTACTTTCTTACGGCAAAAATTCTATCACTCGGCATTCGTTTTTCAATAGACTTACCTCCACGTGGTGCACCCTGGGCAACGTATAATCATACGGCCATACGGCAAAAAAAGTCTATTAACTGGCAGTTGACTTCTTAAAAAAGTCTATTATTCGGCAGTTGACTTCTGACTTCAAAGCGGCAAAAAAGTCTATAAACCGGCAGTTGACTTCTCACTATCGGCAAAAAAATTCTATTAACCGGCAGTTGACTTCTGACTTCAACGCAAAAAGGTCTATTAACTGGCAGTTGACTTCTCACTTCACAAAAAAGTCTATTAACCGGCAGTTGACTTCTGACTACTCAAACGGCAAAAAAGTCTATAAACCGGCAGTTGACTTCTGACTGAAAAGGTCTATTAACTGGCAGTTGACTTCTGACTTCAAATAAAAGTCTATCAATCGGCAGTTGACTTCTCACTTCAAACTAAAGTCTATTACCTGGCAGTTGACTTCAAACTACCATGAGTAAGTCTATTAACTGGCAGTTGACTTCTGAGTTCAAACTATCATGACCCCAAGTCTATTAATCGGCAGTTGACTTCTGACTTCAATTACCATGATCTATTAACTGGCAGTTGACTTCTCTATGTCATATTCGAAGTCTATAAACCGGCAGTTGACTTCAAACTATCGGCAAAAAAATTCTATTAACCGGCAGTTGACTTCTGACTTCAACGCAAAAAGGTCTATTAACTGGCAGTTGACTTCTCACTTCACAAAAAAGTCTATTAACCGGCAGTTGACTTCTGACTACTCAAACGGCAAAAAAGTCTATAAACCGGCAGTTGACTTCTGACTGCATGTGGCAAAAAAGTCTATTAATCGGCAGTTGACTTCTGACTTCAAGCTACCGTGACCTCACTGTATGGCATATTCGACCACTTCCACTGTGCGGCAAAAAAGTCTATAAACCGGCAGTTGACTTCTCACTATCGGCAAAAAAATTCTATTAACCGGCAGTTGACTTCTGACTTCAACGCAAAAAGGTCTATTAACTGGCAGTTGACTTCTCACTTCACAAAAAAGTCTATTAACCGGCAGTTGACTTCTGACTACTCAAACGGCAAAAAAGTCTATAAACCGGCAGTTGACTTCTGACTGAAAAGGTCTATTAACTGGCAGTTGACTTCTGACTTCAAATAAAAGTCTATCAATCGGCAGTTGACTTCTCACTTCAAACTAAAGTCTATTACCTGGCAGTTGACTTCAAACTACCATGAGTAAGTCTATTAACTGGCAGTTGACTTCTGAGTTCAAACTATCATGACCCCAAGTCTATTAATCGGCAGTTGACTTCTGACTTCAATTACCATCAAGTCTATTAACCGGCAGTTGACTTCTGACTTCAAACCACTAAGACCCCACTGCATTTCATATCCGACTAATTTCACAGTTCTCACCTCACCTTTTTTTCTACCTTTGTGTCTGTCTGTCTCTTTTACGTCTGTAAATCATTATTCTGTTCCCCCTCCCTCTCGACTTTTTGCCACTTTGATGTTCCTCTTCCTTTCTGTGAAGCCCGAAGTCAATTAAAGGGCTAATGATACCTATCATAACGCCCGCCATTTGAAAAATAGTTTAAGACAAGCAAGGGATTAAGAATCGATAGAAGTCAGCGATTAGCACATTGTCCAACTCACAGTGAATTTGCGCCTTTACAAAAGTGTAAGGCGGTTTCAAACCATTGGAGGTTGGTTTCTCAATCAAAATCCTCTTTCCAAGTTGTATGCTATGGGGGGGGGGCGCATTCCCTTCCCTCTAAGGGGACACAATTAACTCACTGCTCACAGTATTAAGATGTCAGGCGTAAACCCAGAGATGGCTGAATCCCCCCCCCCATCCAGCGCCGCAAAACTACCATCCCAATGTGACCGCAGTTACGAGTCGGAAGACGTGCTGAACATGTCAAAACACTGTACCCACAAAAGCAGGCAATGCGTTTCACAAGTAGACATAACAAATGCCTTCCTGAAATAGAGTATACAAAAAACTAAAGAGGATATAAACCTCCCCCCACTCCCCCCCCAAATTCTAAAGACCACTTGCAATAGGATTAAAAGTAGAAATTGAATGAACAATCCAACCAACTGTGGAGCAATTGGCAATAATGGCCACCTTAATTGCAAGTAAATACACACGGTCGTTCGGAAAAAGACAAGAGATAAAAGAACATTAGGGAGAAAAGGGAAAAATAGGAACCCAAAGGACCGGTCTGCGGAGAGGGAAAAAAAGTCCACGGACAAACGAATAGTATTCAAGCAGCTCTCGTGGAAGTAGACTCGGCGGCTACCGCTAATATAGCGGTAATTATTGAGTATATGCAATTATCTTTCTCTCCCCCCCCCCCCCCCACCACCACCACCTAGCTGAAGTAAACGTTAGTTAGGAAGTAGAGGAAGGAAAGAAGAGGGATTGTTGCGTTTATAAACGAGTTGTTTTTCTTTCCCATCTAATTACAAAAATATGGGCATTCGCATACAACTTGGGTAATTGGTACTGATTAGCCACCTGATTACTCTGCAAAGTACTGGTGATGTGAAGGTACGAGAGCAGTGGTTAAAAAAAAAATTAGGGTAAGAATCCAAAAGGATGACTAAATTTAAATTTTAATTATTTATGCACAGGCATCAAAAATACCCCCACCCCCCCAAATCTTCATTGTATCAGATACAATTTCACTTATGTGCAGTGCATAGAACGAACACCACCGATAAACGACGAAAGCCTGGGGAGAATAGAATTTCATCCAGAACTTCTCATGAGCAGTAGCACACACACACATACACATGCGTCTTAGGAAAAAAAAATAAAAATTATATGTAGAAATTGCTCAGAAAATCTAAAATAAAACCGAGGGAGGGAGGGAGGGGGGGGGGTAGGGTGAGGTGCAACTAAGTAATAAAATCAAGTGATTTTGGCAAAAACACACTTGTAAAGTCTTAAAGGGGAAAAAAGTTAAATTTCCGAAAGAAGCAATAAAAACTAAGTGGTACTTGCACAATTATGCACTCATGTGGGAAAAGAAGCATTTTTTATTCTTAAATCTGTAGTTAAATGAGTCCAATTTGTGATGTTAACAAGTTCGAATTCGGTCAAAATCACCAATTCTAGCTAGGTTCAGATTTAATTCATTTACTTATATCAAATGGTAGGCTTTATGGCAGACATCATTAGCCCTTTAGTTGACTTCAGGCTTCACAGAGGGAGAGGAACATCAAAGTCACAAAAAATCGATTGGGGGGGGGGGGACAGAAGAGCAATTCACAAACCAATGGACAAACCGATGCAAACGCAGAGAAAAGATAAGGTGAGTACTGCGGAAGAGGTCGAATATGGCATTCAGTAGGGTCATGGCAGTTTGAGGTCAACTGCTAATTAAAAAACCCTTTTGCCGCATGAGTATACGTTGCCCAGGGTAACACCGTGTAGAGTTAAGTCAATTACGCATCTCCAGATTAATAAATACCCAGCCAATATACGCCTAAGCTCACATACTGTAAGCAGAATTTCCAACACTCGAATTGAAGCAGAGCAGGCGCATTCTACAACACTTTGGTAAGATCTAATCTCCTGCTTCATTCATGCTTACTGTAAGCGGTAAATATATAATCCTTCGCAATAAGGGGATGCCCATCGATGATATCAAATCAATAACTCAATTTCTAGTAGAGAAGATGAGTAAATTAAAGACAATCGCATACAATAGTTTTGTCATATGGAAATTCAGATAAGACTTAAAATAACTACCAAATATTAGTCGATTAATAAAAGAGCACTTCAAAACGATATATTTGTATCAGCTATCAGATGCAGATATTTGTGAAAATCAATTGACTAGGAGAGAGAGAGAGACACTTTTGGGAAAAAGAGGTAATAATCGGTTAAATATTAAATAACAGTGCTACAAGTGGGCGTAATTAGTAATCCTTTTGCCACCTTCTACCTAAAGGTAAAAATTTAGAACTCCTTAAAACTCTTTCACTGCTTCTCAGGAGCCACGTTAAAAGGAAGGCCCATATGCAGATTTCTAAAGACGTTATTAACAATATTCAAGTAAACACTCGCTCAAATAATTGGAGGTCAAGAGCTTGAATACTGGGACAAGCATTACCACTAACCTCCTCGAGGTGGGGGGGGGGGTAAATAGGTTAACTAATCGGTAGTTTGTCATGCCAGTACCGGAGACAAGGTGGTTGGTAACTTAGTGCCCCAGACTAACAAAAAACTGCCCTAGGACGCTTAAAAGTGTTGCTGCAGGGCAATATCGCAGGCGTATCTAAGGTGGGCAAGTGCCAATGTACGTTTGCACGCGCGGGCCAATTAAAATTTCGCTGGCGTACGGGACATATGTGGTCGGGACCTGAACGGTGTCGGGGCCGGGGGATAATTATAACTGCGGGGGCGCACATT